CCCCCCCCCCCCCCCCCCTCCTCCTCCCCCAGTCTCCACCTCAGCCTGCTCCCTGCCCCCTCCCACCACCCCGGGGATCCTCGATGCCAGCTCGGGCACAACTCCAAAAATATATAGATAAATAAAATAAAAATACCCAATAAATAAACACCAACAAAGAAAAGAAGAAGAGAAGAAGCATTCCCACAGACAACAGCACCGCACCGCACACACACAGAATGGAGACACGCGATAAGAGGGTTGGGGACTCACGATCTCTTATATATTACCGAGGGGCTATGAGACACAATCTGAGCAAACACCCTCCAATAAACCCTTATGGGAGACCGACCAAAAGAATCGCCCCCCGGTCAATGGAACGGAAGGGCGATCCCCCAACCCGGAATACGACGCGGCTAGATCAACACCAATGGCCACCCCCTCCCCTCCTGCGTGGCAAAGCGGGATGATTACATGATGTTGGCTCTGGACATCCCCAAGGACCAACCCTTTTCGATAGACGATATCATCCCCTATAGGATGGGAGGGAAGACATATCAGATTCACACAGCTCACAAGTTTAGGCCCTGGTGCTTCAACTGCAGGGCATACGGACACCTGTGCACGGAGTCGGCCTGCCCACAACATCCCAATAAAAGGAGCCCAATGGCAGGCCGCCTCCAACGGGACCAGCACAGATCTAACGGGTGGCACACAGTCGACCCAGGTCACAAGGGGTGGGTATACCTGGAAGATCGGGACTCCAAGGGTCAAATGAAAGGCTGGGTCTGGGAAGGCCGTGGCGACATATGCAAGACCACCCGACCGCTGAATGATTGGATCCCGCCGACTCCGAAAGAGTCCAAGAAGCCTGAAAAGATTCCGCTCTCTGACGACGGGGCGGAAAAAAAGTCACCAGAACCAGGGCCGCACCCCGCCCCTCAGGAAAAGAACAAGCAACCAAACAAGCCACCCAACAATACGCAACAAAAAAAACTGGACCTTGGACCAGCACCATCGCGATACCTACCTGTTGGAGACCAACTAACAGACCGGTCCACACGAGAGAGACAGCAGAGGGAGTGGAGGCCAGGAGCCAAGGATACGGATGAATCGGAGGCGCTGCATACCGCAAAGATTGCCCGGGCATCTCAGGCAGAGGCACGAGGGAAACACTGCGCCACCACAACGGAAAACCAGGTGGAAAAAGACCGCTTTGAAGAAGCCTTTGGCCCATCGCCAATGGATGTGGAGACACTCCCCGGCGCCCCTGCTCCCCCTCCCCCCCCGACCGCTCCCCCGGATGTCGAGATGGTGGACGCCCAACCACAACACGAAAGCAAACCATCGGAACTGAGCCTTCAAGTTGTAGCAGACTGGCTGATGGAGAGCCTCCACGCGAGATATAAACAAGGTAATGAGGACTTCTGGATGGTGTGTACAGGGCACTGATCCCAATGTTGGAAAGCAGCGACAACCTCCAGAAAGCCCTGGTGCAAGGTCTCCCAGAGGGGGCGAACTGGCAAAATATATGTCAAAAACTGCTCTGCATTGTGCTCAACCAGTTCCATCCTCCAACCGCAGATCAGGAAGTAAGTGTTGAACAGGAAAAAAAGGAGTCAGTCCAGCCCGACAGCGCTATGACGAAGAACGAAGAGACCAACACACAAAAGGAAGGCGACTGTTCTGGGGGTGAGAACTCGATAAACAAGGGGCACACCCCCCCCCCAGCAGAGGGAGCAGAGGATCAACTAAGGCAAAGGTCACAAGGGGAGGGGGCAGGGACACATGTTGGGGATAATAGGACTGAGGGGAAGCCCCACGAGGAAGCGAGGTGCAGGGAAGAAGGGGCATAGGAGGAGGAAGCAGAGGGGGGGACAGGGACAAAGATTGGGGAAAACAGGGCTAGGAGGAGTCCGCATGAGGAGGCAAGGCGCGGGGCGGAAGGGGCAGAAGAAAAGGACGAGCCCCCACAGGAGCTCAGTTAGACAAGCAATTGAGCCCGGGACAAGGAGAAACGAAGCAGGCTGCGACAAGCCCCCAGCAGGGCCTGTGTTTAGCGCTGCTAGCCTGGACGACGGACTCCTCCCAGAACCCTCCAAGCCAGGCCCCCCACCCCCCACCCAAACCCCCTGAAGAAGAACTCACTAGTAAGAGACAAAAAATTTCCCATCTTCTCAAAAAATCACCCCCTGAAGGATCTCCCTCGATAAAGGGCATTGTGTTTCTGCCAGTGAGAAAAAAAGAGGGGAGCTGGGAGTTGGGCCTGACAGTTCCCCCAAGGGCAACGCATGATGAGGGTTCAATGGGAGGGAGATCTTCCTTTTTTCTATCTCTCACGTCTTGGGCAGACAACCTGACACTGCGAAAAGCTGAAATATTGCAACTTGTGCAAGATCAGCTTCCGGAGGGAGCCACCTCGGCCCTCGTCATATCATACGGCCAACACAGGCTGGCAACCAAGGACATTTATCTGCAATATGCGCACACACCCTCAGAGGGTCTGCGATGGCTCAACCAAGATGCCCTCATGAACCTGCAACTTCTAAAAATCAAACCAGGAGATCTCTGGGCGACAACGGATATCTGTTCCTTCTTAGTGAAGTTGCTGAGAAGCGACACACTGCAAAACGGCGGCCTGCTGGACACCGGGAAGTGGCTCTCCATTTGAGGTGTAACCCAACATGGTGATGAATACAGTGGACGCACTATATGGCAGGGACAAGGCTTGGAAAAACTGCAAACGACAGGCCGACCTCGACCTGCGTTCTTTAAACGTCAACGACCTGGCTTCAGCTAATCAATCCAAAAGACAGGCAATCATAGACCAACTCAAAGGGGTGGAAGTGCTTTGGCCCCACCAAGTCTTCAGGGCCCATGCCCCCCGGCCGGGGAGCGCAGGAGTCGCCATTTGCCCCCCCCTTGATACACGGGTGGAGATGTTAAACTGGGCAGCGGATCAAAAGGAAGGCGGGTGGGTTTATCTATTGGCCATGCTGGAATTAGAAGTGGTATGTATATTGAATATATATGCTCGAAATGATGCCTCACATCGTCAGCGCTTCCTTGAGTCTCTGAAAGTAAAACTTCCAACGGGCATCCCGGTGATCCTTGTGGGCGATTTCAACGCGGCCCCTGATCGAACACTGGATAAATGAAAAAAATCCCCTCTCCGTGCCCCGCCTACATACAAAACGACGAAAGGATCATTGCGGAACTCGCCCAATCCCTC